CTCTCTGTTTTCATGCAGAAGTGGATGTTCTGTTAGCCAGGGAGCAGATGCTACTCTCAAGGGTCAATCCCAGGCAACCGCACACAGATCTTTGAATACCAGCAAAAGTTATGCATAGTGATTTCATAGAAGCAAGGAAATCAGGCAGAAGTAAAAACAAAGTTGAGGTAAAATGCATAGGTAGGAAAACCTTAATCAAGGTCAAGGTCAAGCTCAAGGTGCCTTTATTGGCCAAAGTGGTTCAAAACATCAAGGTTCATGCTCATTAATTCAAGTAATAAGTCTAACAAAGTTAAAGATTATTGAGCATTAATTTTTATGTTTTGAACCACTTTGGCCATGGCTGCCTCAGACAAGTCGATGGGGGAGAGGGCGGACTCCAGAAACCAGCTTATCACCATCAGACAGGTTGGTTCACTATGTGAGTGTGCTACTTAAAAGACTGAGTTTGTTGTGGCTCCTCAGACTGAAGAAGTCTCTTGAATGAGAGATGAAACGTTTCAACACCAAGAAACCGTCCGGAGGACCTGACTTAACTTTCTTGGATTTATTACCTGGATTATTGAGCATGAAATTTTAAACGCTTATATAAGTTTGAAGAAACAAGATGACTTAAAAGGAATCATAAACACATGAAAAGCCCCGCCCCCAAATGTGCAAACAGCACATCAGGAATAACATATTTGTTCTCTGGGATTTTCTTTAAGACAAGTTTGGCCCTTCAGAACAGTTTTCTTATTTGTTTTATAAACCACAAAACGGTGCTAACCTTTGTCTCATATTTGACTGCATGATTGCATTTTTAAGATTAAAGACCTAGCATTCCTTCAAGGAAAGCATATGACCCGTCATCTTTCATGACAGAGTTTTAGACTAAGATCATCCTGACTTGAGAAGAGAATGTGTCTGAGCTACCAACAAACTCAAATTTCAGCGCAGTTTCTACAAAACAGCTTGAAATAATGTCATTTTATAAATTAAGTCAGCTGTGGAAGCCATCTTGAATTAGATGCACTTCAAACGTGAATGTGTTGTAGATGTACAAACATTGATTCCTTTCTGAAAGTTTCAGGAAAATTTGTGAAGTAATTCACGATATATTTTGGTGAAGGACAGATAAACGCCTGCAGATGAACATGCAATAGCATTTTCATCTCATTTCCCTTTAAATCAACTCATTGCACAATTATTGAATTGTTTACTACTATAGAGGGTTAACAACTGCTTATGAGAGGCATTGAATAATCCTCTTCTGCACTAGTATCACTATTCTAGATCAGTGTCTTTATGTCCAGAAATTACTTGGCCACAAAGTTACCCTGCTGCAACAAACAGACTGCAGGACTGATGTGAGGTACTTCAAGCACACACACACATAACAAAAGTGGTGAGTATACCAAATGGAACAAAGTCAGCAATAAAAGGAAAACACTCCTCTGAACAAGACCATAATTGTTTGGATGACTTTAGCACATAAACTAATAATACGTTTCAGGTTTTGATATAACTATAAGTGCCTGGGTAGCTGCCTTTGATGTTAATTGGAACCACTGGGCAGCAATCTACTTTATAGTACTGACAAATAACAGCTTCCTTGGGCCTTAGCATTAGAGGTTAGCCAGCAGAGAGGCACATATTCACCCCATATGCTCATCAATATGAATAAAACTCAAAAAAGCAAGCTTGTCTTCACAGAGGCAGAACAATGCTGAGGACAGTCCCAGGCCTCAGCCCTGGTGATTGAAAAATCCTGTTTACAATTCTCAACAGTGCTTTCACGGGGTGTTCTGTATAGCGCGGAGCAGTGTTTCATTGATGTTACAGTGCTATTTTTCTTCCCCTCTTTAATAGTTAGACCAAATTGTGGTTTCAGAAAGGTGGCCCGATTGGAAATCCTGCATTGGAAACATATTACTCACAAAGAGGCCTGTCCATTGTGTTTTAGATTTATTTTAGGAAATATAATAGTTTGGAACGCAAAAGAAAAATCATTGCAGAGATCTGGATTTAATAAAAAAAATACAACACAATGATTTTTTTTCTTTTATTGTTACAAAGTATTTTAAATATATATATATATATATCACTGAAGGAAAACCTTGTCATCCAGCTCTATAATAGAAAACATACCCCAACGATGAATGCAAACATTTTGTCCAGAGAGTTGCGTGGACTTTTTGATGATGGAAAAAGTTCAAAGTGTTTCCCTTCTTCCCAGATGATACCACGTCATAGCGTGTACACAAGTGACCTTGTGTGATGCCAGAGCCCCACAGGTCAGACATGAGAGGAAAGGTGCCTGCTCTTAGAGGCTGATTCACTGTAGGACAAACGACAGGCGCTGCTGAAGAAAGTAATTGGCTTGTCTCTGTGTAAAAAGCACTTACGTTCTGATTGTTCACAGAGCTGCAAATGTGAGCATCAAACGAAACAGACCCAAGGAAGTTTCTCCGCTTTGACATGCTCCTCGTCATGATGATTGACAGTGAGAACATGTGAATGATGTCTCGAGGTTTTAAAAGAAATGTAAGGCTGGACAAGATTGAGGAAGTAAAATATTTTTGACAGAACCAGAAGGAAATGGATTTTTTTAATTTATTTATTTTTTTAGATAAGGAGGATTGTGAACAAATTCCAACAGTAATCCTAAAATAACTCAAATGATTGATTTTCTTTGTAAGTACCTAAGGTAATTGATTCCACTCTCATATGGTGGAAGAGTTAGTCACTGGTTTGTACCGAAGCCTACATTTTCATTGTTATCCTAAGTATATGCTCAGTTATATTTGTCCATGAAACCTGATGAATCCAATCATTACTTAAATTACAAGCATGTCTTAAAGACATATAAACCTGGATGACAATGAATTTTCTGCTTTTAAGCTCAGACAATAGAAAGGCTATTGTTTTTGGATGTGAGCATCTTAGCAATAAACTTTGCAGCCTTTCACTTCCTGTGGATGGCATTAATTACCCTCCACTTCTAATATAAAAAACCTTGTTGTTATTTTTGATCAGGATATGTCTTTTAACCCCCACATAAAAAAGTTACCATCTGCTTTCCTTCACCTGCATAATATATCTAAGCATTATATCAATTATCTATTATCTAGCAATATAATATCTATTATCTAGCAATATATCTATTTAAGCAACATCCTGTCCAAAAATGATGGAGAGAAACTGGTCCATGCTTTTCTAGGCTGGACTATCGCAACTGATTGTCAATTAGAAATTAGATAGCTAGACATTATCTTTGCAGATGTAATGTTAACGTTTCATCACATGAGCAACAATATTGCCATTTATATGTTTTGGTTTATGTGCAAATAAGTTGTCAGGTGTTAACTGGTGACCTTTTCATTAAGTTGTAGCCAAATTTATTTGTTCCAGGGTGGTTGTTTTCTCGTTCTTCATGTGTTTATGCTACAGAAAGATACCTGATAAAAACTATAGAATCAAAGTAATTTTGTTAAATCTGAAATGATTCCATCTACATTATAGAGGCACAGAAAATAAATTAGCTTTAAATTTGTGAATGATTCAATAAAGCCACGCTTTGTACACATATTTTTCCTTCTTGCGGTGAAGACATCGTGTCAACAGTAATAAAAGCAGAAGTCGAGATTTTGCCACAATCATTTTATAAAAGAATGTGGTCTGTCGACTAATGCGTTATCAATCAACCTTTATTATACAGGTTATGCCCACTCAAAGAGTGCTAAACTATTCAAAAACATCCCACAAGGGTTGTTAAGCACAAAACAACTGATAATGGAGGCAAACAATCAATCAGTTTGAACCATAAAAATAATATAAAGTTAATTAAGGTTGATGTAGGCAGATTTTTACTTTGTCATTGTGCAAAAAAAAAAAAAAAGGAAATTATTTAGAAAGAAGTGTTTTTTCCATAATAGTGGCTCTGTAAAAAGCTTTGTATGTAAAAACCAGAAACGATCATGCACATGGATCTAGTTTTTAGAGTTGTTTCAAGGCTGTTTAGAGGACCAGGACAGAAGAGAGGAAATGTAACTTATAAATAAGAATCAAAGGATGCCCCATTCTTTATGACTTAGTATTACCAGACCCGCTGACATCTTGGAAAGCGGGAAAGCTTTTTTGCAGGACAGGTAAACGAAACATGTGGACTAAAAACTCTGCTCTTGGGTCAGTTGTAGCTTAAAAGAAAAGACATTACAAAAGGAACCAATAAAGACACTGATCAAAGTCTGTAATGGTAATATGTAACAGGTGTTTCAGACCTCTGCAGTCCACCCCTGCACTGTCCTCCTACAGCCAACATCACTCCATTCGTGAAATTCATGTATTTCATATGTGCTCTGATAGGAACAATGGATAAAACATATTTCAGAGCTATTCATGCTATGTTACGAGCAGTCTGGTTCAACTTTTAGAGGGCATTTGCAGGTGATAGATGAAGGCAACCACACTGCTGCTGTGCATTTACGGTGCACTTTCATGATCCGCGGTGACTGAGTTGAAAAGACCTGACGTAGTTGAAGCCCACACTGAGAGAAAAGCAGCCACCTGGATGTGAGACGCAGGCAAGAGTTGAAAGAAGGTTGGAAGGCTCAAGTTGGAGCACAATCAAAGCACAATAGCTTTTTCACACATGGTCTAGGATAAAAAAAAAAAAAAAAAAAAAAATGGCACTGTTTTTGATAATAAAGATAAAGGATAAAGAAAACATGAATATTTTTAAATAATAAATTTTCATTATTATTATTATTATTATTATTATTATTATTATTATTATTATTATTATTATCTCAGCATTTCTTCATTTATTGCTGGTTCATTCACCAGGGGCCAGTGATTATTATTATTATTATTATTATAGTATATTATTATTATTATTATTATTATGAAATAGATTATAAACTTGTATTTACCCACATACTAAAGTGCCTACTTTCACTGAACTTGTATATTATTACAGTACGCATGCGCAATTGAACCTTTAGAGCTTTCTGACGCTACTTCCGCCGCCCGCCCTCCAGCGCTTTGGGACATGTAGTTCTTTTTGGTGCCGTTTTAAAACCTCCGCTGAGAACCTTCGAGAACCAGTTCTTTACATTGTGGTTAGCGACAACTTCTACATCAACGAATTTAAATACATTATTTTCACGTCACCTGCACCACGTCAGACGGAAAAAGACGGGAATTCTGTTCATTCGTGCACTACAACAACCAACATCGCCCCTAATGAATGCAAGGCAGTGTAAACACAACTCCAGGAACATGAAAAGATCGGGTGACAGTGAGGGGGAGAAGAGAAGAAAGGTATTGATAGCGTTTTTCTCCGTTAGGTCTGGGATATATATATAAGCCCCGCCGCTCGTTGAACATCTAACGCTCCTTATGCGATGCTGCTGGCTGCATTTTGAAGGCTACAAAGCCGCGAATGTCAGCGCATACCTCACCTTGCCTGCTTCCTTTATTGTGTTTTCCATTTCCCCCCCCCTCAGTGTGTACCACTACGAAGTATTACAGTTACATTAAAAATTGATGTTTTCTTACCAAGGAGGCGCACTCCTGATATGAAGCTTTAGGTGCCTGAGGAAGGCAACATTCGACAATAATAAAAAAAAAAAAAAAAAACGTTTTGAATATGCAGGCAATATTACAGAGAACACAGTATGATTCCTTGTATGTTGATATAATGCAAACCTTAAACAAATGAACTGAAAGGCACTTTAATTCAAGCTGATCCAGATGCAATAGTTCAGTTGTTATTTGTGTCGCGGTTAAAATAGCCTTAAGTGTACAAACCAATGTGAAAGTTAGTGTGTAGTAGTTCAGATTTGGGCATGCTGCCCAGTAAATAGTCTCCAGCTGCTTCAGGCTTTACACTGATCCAGTGTGTAATAACTAGTGCTCCGAGTTTTCAGGGAAAAATTAAATAAATCTAATTTATTGCCTAATGTTGTCATATCATTGTAATGTTCTCTTCTCGAGAATGACAGCTGTACCATTGGATCAGTTTGTGGTATTGAAAATCAAGAGCGTCCGTAAACAATCAAGAACAGTCGTGATGTTTTTGATATTCCAGGCTGGTTCAGACGTTTCCACACAGTGTAACTATGGAGGAAGTTGTGAGACTTTTCTTGACTAACTGAATACCGTTCTTGTTTGTTACACCTGTAGTCGCCTCTCACATTAAGCGCTTTGCCACTTTCTCTACGCTCTTCGGTTCTGCACCAGCCGCCCCACTGCCAGTACCCACCCCTCCTCAGCCCGGTTTATGGCACCACCTTGTTTGTGATTCCAAGCGAACTGCTCCGAGGTGACAGTTTGGATGTAAGCAAACAGCAGCTAGCTGTTGATTGGCCAGCGGAGCTACGTCAACGGATGACCCGCCCAGCAAAATCGCAAACTACATCTGAACCGCCGTTTACTCTCTGATTGTGATGTCTGTTGTTTTTGCTAGTTTCTGGTATAGAAGCTCCAAAAATAGTGCCGTGGATCAATGACGAGGTGCAGATTTTCCTAACTTCCTTGGCTGATGTCAAGATTCAGATTGAGCGTGAGCTGGACGGCCTCTCAAGAAATTAGTGCATTTACAGAGAGATATCAGAGATGATGTCACCACGCATGGCTACATCCAGACTTATAAGTGCCGGGATAAGCTAAAAGACAACTGATGTCTGATTATAGAGCGTTTAAGGATCACAATGGGCAGAGTGGCTTGAACACAATGACGTGTTATGATAACGCCCACTTTGCATTGATGATCCTGCCCACAATGCTGGGAAACAAGTCAGTGGCAAATCACCTACACCTGAGAAGAACGGATAAGACGAGAGCCGAGTGAAGTTGTACTTATCAATGGCAAAGCAGCTTTTGTGTATTTCTTCCTTCTTAACTTTCCACTTGCTGACTTTCTGCTGTGGCGCATGTGTTTGGATCATGTTAGACAGCAGTCAAACTATGTTAGACGTGGTTCCTCCCGTTTATGAAAGCAGCCATGGCGGCCAGATGAGCGACTCGGAGAAAGAACTCATTCCAGCTGGCCCTCAGGCAGTCAGGCGGCGCAGACCTAGTGGCTCAGCTTCCTTTCTCTTTAGATGAATAAAATGATGAGCAAGAGCAATTGCAATATGACATTATGACTGTAGATCAGCCAGAGAGGGAGCAGCATGCATTTTAAAGCTGTTTTCATTGTTTCAGAGGTTGTCTTGGATATGAAACGTAGCTGTCTCATTTGAAAATGCAATGGGTCATTCCAATAAATAGAAGTTTTATAAGAACGATGCCAGCCTCCAATACATCTTCCTTCGTATTGATTAGATTTCAGCAAACATTTGAGAAATGTCTCATCATGATTATACCCCCACTTATTTTCCTGTCACATTTCTTCATCCAATATGAAAATTTACTGCTGTACTTCCCTATAGTAGTAATTCACTGGATAATTCTTTACCCGATTTGAGTACTTTCAGGAATCTCAGTTACTCCCCAGTTCACGCTAAACTATAACTTACCGTAACTGTTTTGGAAAATGGCAATATCCTTTCTTGATCACAGAATGTGTTGTTTAAGTTGTTGTTTAAGAATGAGAAGATACTCACATCAGCCAGGACTACATAACATGTTACCAGCATATAGGTCATTGCAGCACTGTAATAATAATAATACAAACGGGATTCCAAAAAAGTTGGGACACTAAACAAATTGTGAATAAAAACTGAATGCAATGATGTGGAGGTGCCAACATCTAATATTTTATTCAGAATAGAACACAAATCACAGATCAAAAGTTTAAACTGAGAGAATGTATCATTTTAAGGGAAAAATCTGTTTCCAAATTTCATGGCATCAACAAATCCCAAAAAGTTGGGACAAGTCCATTTTTACCACTGTGTGGCATCCCCCCTTCTTCTTATAACACTCAACAGACGTCTGGGGACAGAGGAGACCAGTTTCTCAAGTTTAGAAATAGGAATGCTCTCCCATTCATGTCTAGTACAGACCTCTAACTGTTCAATCGTCTTGGGCCTTCTTTGTCGCACCTTCCTCTTTATGATGCGCCAAATGTTCTCTATAGGTGAAAGATCTGGACTGCAGGCTGGCCATTTCAGTAAAAGGATCCTTCTCCTACGTAGCCATGATGTTGTGATTGCTGCAGAATGTGGTCTGGCATTATCGTGTTGAAAAATGCAGGGTCTTCCCTGAAAGAGATGACGTCTAGATGGGAGCATATGTTGTTCTAGAACCTGAACATAGTTCTCTGCATTAATGGTGCCTTTCCAGACATGCAAGCTGCCCATGCCACAAGCGCTCATGCAACCCCATACCATCAGTGATGCAGGCTTCTGAACGGAGC